ATTAAACTAATTAAACTAAGGAGGTAGCACAATCTATCAAGAAATAAATATAATCCATTAAATAAATCACAAGAGTAATCAATTAAGCACCATGCATTGACCAACACTAGATCCATTATTTTAATACACATAGACATGCATCAAATGTAAGTGTAAGCACATAATCATCCATTCCATCACATATAGACATATGAATATAATTAAAAGATTAATTGGAAGCATTGAACCACACAAATCAGGTAGAAACAAGATTTATATAAACATGAGGTCAATACAATATTTACAACACAAATCCCCACTAATTACAAAATATTAAAGTTTATGAGGCAATCATAGGGCTATCTCTAGCCCCAAGAGAACGATCTAGCCACTCATGGTTGTTGTCATCCAACCCTCAAGGGCTCTCTTCATGGTTGAATTCATCTTCCTCCTCTTGGTGTTCTTGATTAAAACCCTAGAAATGGAAAAATCCTTCCCAAAATGTGTATATTCTCTCTCTAATCTCTATTCACCACTATCCAACTAACCAACCTCTTTACTAAAAATAGCCAAATCCCTTATATAGGTAGCTCAAATGTCACCCCAAATGGTCAAACCGCGTGCACTAAGACCTCCAAAATGATTGCACCACGAGCACACCTTCAATTGGGCTTAAAATATGTTTTGCACGGTTTTTTAGGCAGTTCAATCGATCACATTATTTCTTCAATCGATCAAAGCATTGAGGCACACTTATTTAGATAAGCACATAGGCCGAAATATTTATTGGGAAAAGGACAAAAGTGGTTATGAGGATAAGATCAAGGGTTTCGATAGATCGAAGAAAAGATTGGATTGATCGAATAGGAAATTTTCCTGAGGATAAGGATAAAAGCTCGATCCATCAGGGCAATGTTGGAACGATCACAGCATGGTTCGATTAATCGAACAAAGACAATTTTCACCATCTTGCTTCCACTTTGCTCCTGTCCACTAAACTTTGGTTTGCCTCCTCTAATGCTCTAATTCAACTGATTTGACTTATTTTGTGGCTAAGTACCTAAAAAAGGAGAAAAACATAAAATTAGGCTAAAGCGGGGAAGTAAGATAGAATAAGGTCCTAGTATACTCAAGGTTAAGGGTTTAAATGTGCACTTTTCAGTGTTTATCTTTGACACCCTCAAAATCCGCATGTAGGCAACTGGGTCTTCGTGCCCATCTTCAGACCTCACTCTCCGGCCAACCTTTGGCTCCATTCTCAAGCTCGAAGGCCCTGTCATCCTCTATCACGATATCATTGCCATGGGTTTCTCCTTCTTGAGGTGTGCGTATACCAGTCCGCTTTCTCCTCGGATTCTAGGGCCATAGCATTGCTGCCCCCTTCCGTTCCTTCTTTTTACGGGGAAACCAGATCCAAGTAGTCAAGGATTTGGATAGAGATTTTCGGTTCTTCCATAGAAATGTCAGCCTAGTAAGGGGCAGCAATGGATCTACGCCTACGGCTTCAAATTCGCCACCAACTATGGAGACAAAAGCCTCTCGCTTCCGTGAGCTCTGATTCACCTCCCTGTGGTTCTATATTCCTTGTTTGTCACCGTAATGAATTGATAATGATGATGATGTTGAGGGATGATGATGATGCGGCAGCGGGGCTAATTTGTGATGATGATGATATATGTGTGTGCATGATTTGTGATGGTGATGATATATGTGTGTGCGTGTGTATATACAGACAATATATATATATATATATATATATATATATATATATATGTATTAGTTGTTTAGGTTAGGGTCTGAAAGAGGAGAAAGAGAAGAAGAGGTTAAGGATTTGGGTTTATCAGATGGGTTTTACCCAATAACCCATTTTAACTTACTTGATTCAAGGGTATCTAAGTCAATTGTATTTATCAATTTTATATCAAAGGGTAATAAATTATTAACCAAAAAAAAGAGGGGGGGGGGGGTAATAAATTCAATTCAACATTTTCGGAACGTCTTTGTCAATTTTATCAAGGCAAAAGTGCAAAAAACCCCCTGAACTATCCAATTTTTGGCAAATACCCCCCTTAACTACCAAAGTGTGCAAATACCCCCCTGGAAGTCACCAGATCAGCTTTCCAGGCGTGTGTAATGTCACGCGCCTGTTTAAAGTATTATAATGCCGAAAATGCCCTTTTTTGTGACCGTTATAGCCTTGTGGCCTATATAACCCCATTGTATGTCATTTTGCCAAATTGTGTACTCATTCTCTCTCTGTAATGAACTTGAAGGGGTTTTGGATAAAGGTGAGTTTTCTTAGGCAATTAAATTTATTTATAATACATATATATTAAATTTGAATATATATATATATATATATTTATTTATAATATATATATATATTACTTTTTTTGTGTTAGTTTTTTTCCTTCAGATGCATAGTAGTTAATAGTAATTTTTTTTTTTTTAATTATTTACGTGCTTGCAATATGTATTGTAGTACTGATATGGAGCCATCAAGCAATGTATTGTATTGCTATTATGGAGTAAAATCTCCTTTTAGAAGAGCCACTACACAAAATAATCTAGGTCGGAGGTTTTATGGATGTGGAAGGTATCCCATGATGTCTTGTGGGTTCCATAGATAGGTGGATCCTGAGAATTGGAATCATATGGAAAGAGAACTAGCTATGAGAACCATATCATCTTTGAGAGGCCAAATTGCTATGAGAACTGGTTATGATAACCATTTGGAAGATGAAACACTGCCTATTGATGGGAGAATGAACTTTGTGGGTGCACCACCTGTGCAAAGCAATATTGGGAATCATGTAATCACAAATTTGGTTATTTTCATGTTGGGATTTATAGCATGTGCTATTGTAATGGTTATTGTGTGGTTATTTAGTAGAATATAATTGTAATGGACTTTATAATTAATTAATGTATTATTTTTTTATATAATATACTATGTTACACCAACATTCCAGTTGCACCAACATACAAAATAGGTGATGACAATACAAAAAAATTATAATCTGGGGTAATCTTTGCAGCATCAACATACTAGTTGCACCAACATAGCAAAAAACATAAAAAAATAAATTCTGTGCAGAACATAGCAATATACATAACCATAACCATACAAAAACAAAATCTATGCACCACCAACATACAAAAAAACATAGCCATAACCATAACCATATAAATTATAGTAGTATCAGCCATAACCATACAAAATCTTAAGTTTTGCATCAACATTCCCAAAAATTAAAACTACAATCTGTGCACCAACATTCTAAATAACCAAACAACATGTGTGCACCAACATTTCAAAAAACCAAACATCTATGCACTACCAACATACCAAAAAAATGTAAACCATATCTGTGCACCAACAAACCAAAAAAATCTAAATCATATTTGTGCACCATCAAAATACCAAAAGATGAAAACTAATATCTGCGCACCAAAACTTACAAAAAGCTGTACCATGAACTCCAAAAAGCAGAAAACCACCAAATTTCCTTAAACTCCTGGACCAATTGTAGTGGGCCTGTGGGAAAAAAATAAATAAATAAAAATAAATAAAAATCATCAAAGACATTTATAAACTGTTCTTGATTGCTCCAGAATTTTTTTAAAAAAAAAACTCTCACATACCTAGATGATGAGGATGCTTGACTACTCCACAAGACATTGACTCTCACATACCTAGATGATGAGGATACTTGACTACTCCACAAGACATTGAAATCAATTGATGATGATGGTTGAGACAAATTATTTAACAAATTCCCATATCTTGATTGTATTGTCATCACCTATGAAACAAAATGATAAAATATTAAAAATAGTAATATGACAGTAAACATTTAAATTAATTGATTATGATGGTTTAAAACAATAACCTCTTGCAGTTGCCTTGCATTTGTTCTTGCAGCCCCTCCTCCCCTTCTAATGCCTCTTCCCATACCACTTGTAGTCCCTCCACTTGCAGTGCCAACCTCTCCCATACCACTAGCAGTCCCTCCACTTGTAGTGCTAACCTCTCCAATACCATTTGCAACCCCTCTTCCCCTTCCAATGCCTCTTCCCATACCACTTGCAGTCCCTCCACTTGTAGTGCCAACCTCTCCCATACCACCTGTAGCCCCTCTTCCTCTTCTAATGCCTCTTCCTCTGACAATTTTTCTTGCAGTTACAATACCTCTTGCCATTATTAATGCAAGTCCATCAGTGCCTGGCAGTCCACCAGGTAGCCCAGAAGTAACTGGCAGTCTAGGTCTACCTGGTGTACCTTTTTTGGTAGCTTGAGGTGTTACTTCAGTAGCTTTGCAAGTTCTGACATTGTGTCATTTTGCCCCACACTTTCTGTAGTTGAGTAGTTGCTTTTTTCTGCTAACTGCACCATTCTGGTTGTTCACTTCACCAACAACATTTTTTCTTGCCTTTTTAGGTCTGCCAGATGAGGGCTTAACTATTGGTGGGTGTATGGGATCAGTGGCAACTTCACGTGTCATTTGCCTAAGAGACATAAGGAAAATAATAGGTGTATATGTCCTCAAGTATGTCTCCCTATGATAACAACTATCAACAAAGTCTTCAGGATTACTCCTTTGGTCAATTATACATGCAATGGCATGCATATATGGTATACCCCTTACATCCCATTCCCTACAACTACATGTTCTGTTTGCCAAATTAACAGCATCACTAACCCCTTTATAGCAAACTTCATATATATCATCACATGCTTTCTTTATAGCGCAATGCCTTGAATCATCCATTAGCTTGGTCAATTTGTCAGCAATTGTAAGGCACAACAACCCCTTCTGGGTTTGAATCCATTCCCTTTTCGATTGAAATCGATACATCAAGTACCCTCTAATCCACTCCAATATAGTAATTAATGGCTTATCCCTAGCATCACCAATGTTGTCATTCCAAGTCTCACAAAGGTTGTTAACAAGCAAATCACATCTTGAATTATCATTAAACCTAGACCTTGACCATAACCTAGCTGGCACCTTTGACAGTCATTCATGGGCTTCCTTATCAATCTGACTTATGAGATGCATGTGATGCTTAAATGTATCTTTAGTCAAAGCACGTGTTGCATTCCACATCTCATCCCTCAACTTCGTACCCTTAAACTTCTTCTTAAAATTCTCATACATATGCTTCACACAAAATCTTTGGTAAGTGCTATGCAACTTGTCTTCAAAGATTTCAACTAAACCCTGTTAACCAACAATAAAGAAAATATTAATATAAAAAGTTCATAAATGTAAAATAAATGACATAAAATAAATTATTTAAACATTTTTACCTTTTGCCTGTCGGACATAAATGTAAATCTGTTTAGAGGACCCAAAGCACTTTCTAGTTGGTTTAAAAACCATTCCCATGATTGTTTTATTTCAGACCTAACCACACCTATGGCTATAGGAAATATTCCATTGTCTCCATCCTTGCCAATTACACTTAACAACTGCCCTTTGTAAGGACCCTTCAAGAAGCAACCATCAAATCCAATGAATGGCCTACATCCTTCCAAGAAACCTCTCTTCATTGCTTCAAAGCAAACAAATAGCCCTTCAAATCTGGCAGGGTCATCAAGTGTTGGTCTATCAACAGTAGTCACTGCAATACTACCAAGATTGGTGGTCTAAATGAGTTGGCAGTAATCTCTAGTCCTTGAGAATTGCAGTCCATGGTCACCATCAATGTGTAATCTAGCCTTCTTTCTTGCCCTATAAACCTTGTATTTGGAAACATTAACATCCAAATATCTTAAAACTGCCTTCTTCATTGCAGATGGTTTCCATGTGGGTTCATCCCTAATTGTGTCCATGTATTTGGCTGCCAAATAACTGGCTGATACTTAACTATTAAGCTTGTTGTAACTGCAAGTATGTTTTGAGTTAAAAGTCTTTATTTGGAAGCTACCATCCTCTGAGTTAATTAATAGATGAATTCTCCACCCACAAATTTTTGAACATGTAGCAGTAACTCTATTCCCTTCATTCTTCACAAACCTAATAGCATACTTTCTTTTAATAGCGTCATCCCTTAAGGCCACTTTAAATGCTTCAGGTGAAAAAAAATTGTTGCCGAGTTCTATGACATTATTCCTAAATTTATGCCTTCTTGGAACCATATCCACTTCACTGTCACTGCTATCTTCTTCAGAGGATGATCTGCATAAGCTTTCCAACTCATCACATAGTGAATATACGGATTCAATATTTGAGTATTGACCCATGCCACCATTCAACTCTTCATCCATATGAGTATTCACATCTTCATCCACATCACCATTCACATCTTCATTTACATCAACATTGCGCCGAATATTATATATTCAAGCGCCCTAAATTGCATTAGTTAAGTCCATCTTTTGATTATTTATGTAGATTATCTCCATTTCCATGTTTTTATGCATTTTCAGGTTCATTGGCCAAAAAGAAGCAAGGTTGAAGTTTTGTTGTAATTTTGGATAAGAAAGGCACAACGCTAAAGCTTGGCAACAGTGGAACCTGACTTTTGTCGCCATTTTCGACCTAGAAAACTCAAGAACTGGACTTCCATCATATATGAAAGATTTAGAGCTCTGAATCAGCTCTCCAAATCTTCAAGCGGTTCGTCATTCGGAGTTCAGAGCAGAGAGTTATGATCTTCTTATTAGAGGTGCTTAGAACTGCCTGGCAGCAATGAAAGTCTGCCTTGTTCTTCAATTTCGACCAACTAGACTTGAGAATTGGTTCTCCATGAAAACAAAAAGTTTTTAGAGCTCTGAATTATCTTTCCAAATCTTTAAACGGTTCATCATTCGGAGTTTGGAGCACAAAGTTATGGCCATTTTACCAAAGTAGGTCCGGGCGGAGCAAACCAAGCATAGGGCATTCTGGCCAATTTTCGAGTGCTCGAGGCCTTATTTCGAGTGCTCGAAATTAGGGCAGATTGCTTCACGAGATCAGCCACTTCTGCTCAGAAATTTGCTAACTTTGTATGCTCTCTTTATGAGTTGGTTGGGGATGTTTCTTGGAGGAGAGAGATGGCTTTTTGGGTGGAGTAACATGTCTACAAAAGAGGGGAGCCACACATTACTTAGGATTATCCTTCATTTTGACAAGAGGGAGGAGAGAGAAGAGAGCAAAAGAAAGGTGTGTTCTTCAAGCTCCAAAGAGGATGCACGAAAATGGAGATGAGGATGATGCTTCTTCCTTCTTCTAGCTCACCAATGGGCAACTAAACCTCATCTAGGGAGGTGATGAAACCCCTCCCTTGTAAGCATGTGTTAGTATAGTTTATTTTTGGGGATTACAATGTATTTTTGATAGTCTTTCCATGATCAAGAGCCTCATTTTTGTTGTAATGAATGTTGAATATTTATAAATGATTATTGTGAGTTATTCATCTTGTCTTGGATGGTTACTTTTCTTAATCATATTGCTTGCACTTCCATGGTGACAATGGAAGTTAGATCATGGAATGGTTTTAATGGCATGGAGTTGGAGAACCTAGATAGTTCATGGCTTAGGGTTTCCCTTTGATGGTCTATACTTGATTATTAGCTTTATGTGCATTCACCATTTAAATTAGGGCTTGATAATCCTTGACTTAGTAAGCATGTTCTAAGCTACATTTTAGTTTAGGTAGTTGATCATGTGAACCTTTGATGGTTTATTCTTGCCTTTCTATTTAAATGAACTTCTTGAGGATATTATAGCAACCTAGTATTGTTATGTATCATGACTATCATATATGTTGTTTTTCCCTTAAATTAATCTTAACCTAGCATGTGTATAGGGATGGAGGTGGATTCATTTCCCTAGCCTTCTTTACTTGTACTTCACTCCCTTGAATTCTTGCAATTTATTGTTTTATGCACTTTTAATTTCCTAACTTAAGTGACATCCAACAAAACCTCTATAAACCCTTTATCATTCTAAGAATGATTCTAGACATTTAGGTTGTATTAGACTAGCACAGTCCCAGTGGTTCGACTTACCCGACCAATAGCCCTATTTTACAATGATTCGTGCTATTGCGAAGGTTGATGTATAGTTGATCAACCGATCAATTTTTGGCGCCGTTGCCGGGGACTGCAAACGGTTTAGCGACCAAAGTTCTAGGGTTAATTTTAGTTTGATTGTGAATATTGTGTCTTGTGAATATTCCTTGTGTGTTTTGACCATCTCAATGTTTTAAGTGTTGTAAGATTCTAGGGACTCGAAGCTCGCTGAGGGAATGCTAGCAAATTGTAAGTCTAGAAGACCCTAGGTAAGCTTCTTGACCTTTTAGTTTCGCATTGTTATATTTTGTGCATGTGTTAAGCTTAGAAGTAGTTAATTTATTTGCAAGCCCTTGTTGAGGCTATATTATTGTTTTAATTTCGTGTTCAAGCATCAGTCCTTGTCGTGGCCATTTATTTTCTGTCTTGATAATTGAGGAGAAAGGGAACATCGTATGTGGAGTTGTGGTTGATGAATTGCTTTGTTGAGTATATGCTTTGTTGTTGATGTTCGGTCGTAGGTCACTTTCCTTACCCACAATCGATTCTCCCATTGATATTAACTCTCTTGAAAGAACTCTTAGACGGAACCCTGGGGAACCTACTCTTACACGGGATCTTGAAACTGAATTTAATACAATGGGGGATAATATAGGAAATCCGGGGAATGAAAGGGCTGAAATTCCTAATATCGAGCCAATGACTCTTAGAGATCATTTCATCCCTACCACCTATGCTTCTCCATCTTGCATAGTGATGCCAAACATTGATGCAGCTCAATATGAGATCAAATCTAGTACCATCCAAATGCTTCCATCTTTTCATGGTTTTGATAATGAAGATCCATATAAGCATCTCGATGAGTTCCTTGAAATCTATTCGACCATCCGGTTGAGAGGATTTCCTGAAAATGCACTCCACTTACATCTTTTCCCATTCTCCCTAAAGGATAGGGCAAAATATTGGTTGAACTCCCTCGCTCCTAACTCTATTACTTCTTGGGCTCAATTGCAACAAGAATTTCTTAAGAAGTATTATCCGGTGAGTAAAACCAACCAAATGAGGCGTTCCATTCTAAGCTTTTCTCAAGTTGATGGAGAACAACTCCACGAGACTTGGGAAAGGTTACATGATCTTCTTCGGAAGTGTCCTCATCATTTAATCCCAAAATGGCAATTAGTGCAAGCTTTCTATGCCGGCTTGACCGACACCCATAGATTCATGGTTGACTCTTCTTGTGGTGGGATGTTCATGTCCAAGAATGCGGATGAGGCTTGGACCTTACTTGAGAATTTGAGTGAAAATTCACTTCAACACAATTCTCGTAGGGCTCCGACCTCAACCACTCCAAAGAACACCAATCCTTGTCGACAAAAATCAATAAGGGAGGAATCATCTCAAGTGGATGCCATTGCTCATAAATTCTACCAATTGATGGCACCACATCTTCCCCCTTCATTGTCTCAAAATTCGGCAAGTTCAGTTTGTGCTTCATGTACTAGTCCATTCCATCTCTCGGAAGATTGCCCCACACCGGGGCAATTTCCCAATCCCAACCAAGAGCAAGCTAATGCCATGTTCTCAAGGCCCGGGCATAACCCGTATTCCAATACATATAATCCAGGTTGGAGGGACCATCCGAATTTTTCGTGGAGGCAACAAGCCCCACAAAATTCCCAACTTCAAAATCAAGGGCCTCGAAATCAGCACTCTTCTCAATATCAAGGTAGGCCTTTCTAAGCCTCTTCAAGTTACCAACCTCCATACAATCCAAATGTCTCCACTCAACCTCCTGTGAATCCAATTAATGAGATAGTGGCTGCAAACAAGCAAATGATGGAATCATTAAATGTGCAAATGATGGAATCATTAAACAAGCAAATCATGGATTCCAACAAGCATCTCTTGACATCCTTGCAACCTACTCTCCAAATGGTTCACTCCTATACTCAATCCATAGATAGGCTCGAAAATCAGATGGGACAAATAGCTAACCAAGTGAACCAACTTCTTCAAAAAGACAAGGGTAAGCTTCCCGCTCAACCATTTGAAAATCCTAGAGGGATACATGCAATTGATGAAACCCCTCTTCCGAGTGGGCCGAGTCTTGAGCATATTCAAGCTATCACCACCCTTCGGAGTGGTAAAGTAGTTGACAACAAGGTCGATGGAGACAAAAGTGAACAAAATCCTCCTTTGAAAAATCCAAATTCAAGCTCTTCCAATCCAAATCCAAGTTCTTCTTATCCAAATACCATTCACGGAAATCCCACGCATGTCACCCCAAATGTGGAAACTACTTATGAGCCAAAAGCTCCGTTCCCTCAACGTCTTCAAGAGTCGACACATTTTGGGAATAAGAATTGCAAAATTCAAGACATGTGGGAGGTCTTTAGGCAAGTAAAGATCAATCTTCCTCTCTTGGATGCTATCAAGCAAATTCCTCCCTATGCAAAATTCCTTAAGGATTTGTGCACTCAAAAGCGCACTTCAAGAAGTCATTTACCAAAGAAAGTGAGGTTAACCGAAAATGTTAGTGTGATCATTCAGCACAGCACTCCTCTGAAGTATAAGGATCCGGGTGCCCCCACAATCTCTTGTGTCATTGGTGACAACAAAATTGAGAGGGCCCTCCTTGACTTAGGAGCTAGTGTGAATTTGATTCCATATTCGGTTTACCTACAACTTGGTTTGGGAGATCTTAAACCAACTCCGATAGTATTGCAACTTGCTGATAGATCTATTAAGCAACCACGGGGAATCATTGAAGATGTTATCATAAAGGTGGATAGGTTCTACTTCCCGGTAGACTTCGTGGTTCTTGATACGGAACCAGTCCACGACCAAAGAAAACACATTCCCATAATTCTCGGACGTCCTTTTCTAGCTACAGCTAATGCTTCTATTAACTGTAGAACCGGATTGATGGATATCTTTTTTGGGAATATGAATGTTAAGCTCAATATTTTCAATGCTGTGCATCTTTCTCTGGATGAGAGTGAGTGTTTTGCAATCACTATTGCTGATGAACTCATTGAAAATCCAATTCCACCTCCTTCAACGGAGGATCCCCTACAAGCTTGCTTGGTCCACTCTGATTTTGAGGATTTTGATGAGGAAAAATCCATTCGGAAAGTCAACTCCTTACTTGATATTCCATCACCATTTTCCTCTCCTTTATGGGTAGCACCAAACCCATCTCTATCTTGGGAATGTCCATCTCCTTCCATTTCTTCACCGGAGTTACCTCAACATTTTGAGGGTGAACCACC